AAGTTAGAAAATACAACTTCACCATAAATTTAGCCAAGTGTCAGTTTGGACAAGCCAAGATTAAATACCTCGGTTTTGTATAGGTCAGGGTGAGGTACGTCCTGTTGATGTAAAAGTTAGGGCCATTGCCGAGTTTCCTATCCCTCAAGATAGAAAGTCTATACAGAGGTTCCTCGGAACGACTGGTTATTATCGACGTTTCTGTCCTAATTTTTCTCAGGTTGCATCTCCTCTTACTGAGTTAAACCAGTAGTAAGATGAAGTTTTGCTGGACGAAAGATTGTGAGATAGCTTTTAATCGGTTGAAGCGGTTGCTTTCTTCGTCACCCGTATTGAAAAGTCCTGACTTTAATCAACCCTTCTATTTACACATCGATGCCAGCGGTTATGCTGTGGGGGCGGTGTTACTTCAGAAATCCCCCTCTACTGATATTTTGCATCCTATATCTTATTTTTCTTCAAAGTTGGAACGTCACCAAAAGAATTACGCCACTGTAGAGAAAGAAGCTCTTGCCCTAGTAATATCTTTGGAACATTTTGACGTTTATCTGGGAACCTCCCCCCATAAAATTATGGTATTTTCTGATCACAACCCTTTAATTTATATTAATTCTATGAAGTCAAAGAATACCCGGATCCTCAGGTGGGCTCTGAGAATCCAACCTTATCTGATTAGTATTCAACACTTAAGTGGATCCCTTAACATAATTGCTGATGCCCTTTCTCGCCCCTGAAAAAAAAAAAAAAAAAAATGTATACCTTCAAATGTAAAGTTAAGAAATGAGTACTCTTAGAGCCTAATTTATATATGTATTATATATTTTTGTTAATGATTTTCTTTTATATTGACAGTATGACTATGAAAGCCGTTTCGTTGATGGGACGAAGTATTAAGTCCACATGGATGACCCTGACAGTCATGTCCGAGACTCCTATTCTCGAATTGTGATGGAAGCCACTCCAGATAGTTCTTCCGGCCATTGTTCCAAAAGCTCATCCCCTGGGAAATAACCTTGCTGATCGAGTTCTTTCTTCTCCATTCTTCCGTCGTACTACATGCCTTATTTACCAAGAGGATGCTTACTATAAAGGAAGATATTACCAAGGACACTTGCAAACCCCCTACTGCGACCTATTGTCGTAGGGGGGGGGGGTTATATCTTCGAAATTGGTCATCCTGTGTTATTTAACTATTGTAAGAGAATATGTTCATCATACAATATTATAGCGCGAAAGTCCCCGTTTATAGCTAAAATAGAGACTTTTGGCGTTATATTATTATCTGTTAATATATGAAAAATACCATGGTATTATCACTATTTTGTTATTATCACTGTTATTTTATTATTATTGTTAGGTAGGATTTCTTGTGTATATAGAGTTTTAGTCTCGGAACCATCCGGTGAATTGTTCAATTGTTTACATCCGGCTGGCTGACGTTTGGGTCAGCTGATCCAACCTGACGACGCGTCAACAGACTGGCAAGTAGTCAGTCTGCTCCTGGCTCTAGCCCTGACAACTGATCGTATACTGGCTCTTACGGTGTACAGTTTGAATGGTTTTGAGAATTGGACTCTAGAGCTGACTCTGTTCCTCATTGCTCTGAAAGATTCTTTTGATATTTATATTCTTGGTCAGTTCAGTAATCCATAGAGATACTTTATGGCCAGATTCAAAGGTCTTGTTAAATCTTGTACCTTTTGTATTTTGAGTTTACAGTCTTGTTAAGACAAAGACGTAAATGTTAATGAAGACTTAATTACAGGAAGAATAATTAAACTTCCTTATTAATGTGACATTTCCATGATTTTGAACTAAATGTATATGGTAAATTTATTGTACAAAGTATTAAGTTACATTAACTACAAAGAGAAGATAAAGTATTGTATTTAAATACTTTAATAAATTTGAATATTATTCTATGGAGTTTCCTAGTTGAAATTATTTCCCCTAGACTCTAAAATACCTTTAAATAACTCAGATCCAAAAATCTTGTTGCATAAGAAATAAATGGTAACAGGCCACATTCTGAAGTTCTTTAAAAAAATTTCTTATTCACAACACACCACCATTATGGACGGCTTATGCTCTCAGTGGCCCTTACACACCCAACAACAACACAACACCTCTCGTGACATACATAATGACTTATTTTATTCATTCTAGAGTATATTCCATGTTTCTATGTTATTTAATATTGTTTATTATGTCATATTAGTTGAATTGTGATAGATAAATAAGCCGTAGAATTGATATTAGTGTCATATTCTCCAACAATAAACTTGCCTCCCTCCCTCTGCCCTGTCTGCCATACACCAACAAGGGTCTTCAATAAAGGTAAGTGTGATGTTAAATGTTCATTTATACATTTTATTAGTGCTTTACATTTATTTGGCATTCTTTTCTGCATGTAAATTTATATTAAGCTAGGGAAGTGACCCCTGAAGTGTCCTAGAGTCCTTATGGAGGGGGATTCCCCTTCCAAACAATAACCTCTCTTCCTTCTCTCCTCCTCCCTGTCTTCCAGTCATCAACAACAGCCTTCAATAAAGGTAACTGTCATGTTGAATGTTCATTCTTTTGTGCACGTAAATCTAAGGTAAAAAAATTTTTTTTTTGATACTTCTGGGTGTCTGGAATAATTAATTGGATTTACATTATTTCTTATGGGGAAAATGGATTCGCAAATCGTCAATTTCAATAATAGTCACACTCTCTGGAACGAATTAATTACGAAAAACGAGGGTCCACTGTACTTTTAGTCTGTAAACCATTCAAAATCATCTCTATTTCTGTAATATATATTCCATTCTATTGAGACCAAGAAACTGAGAATACAACCATATAAACCAAAAACAAAGTCGCAGTTTTTTTTTCTCATGCACTCCATGCTGAAGGATTTTTTTTATACTGTGTACACCAACCACACAGACCCATTCTTTCACATGTTGGCCTACCAGCTTTCTCCAGCAAGATTAGAAGCTGCTAGAATTTTGGCATAGTATTATGGGACCGACCCTGGCTTCAAAGCCATAATATTATAGAACCAACCCCGAAAGGGTGAAACAGTGCTTTTGGGTAGGGCTTTCTAAAACTGGAAATTATCTGCTGGTTCATGGGCTGCATAAGAGGAGTGGTGTTAGGGGGCAAGAACTTCACTTTAACGAAGCTGTATTCATCCACTAAATTTTCCTCCAAGCCTGGAGGGTGAGCAGGAACATTGTCTTACCAGAAGTGCCCTTAATGGTAATTTTTTTCCATTAGGTAGTACTTCACACTTAGGGGGCAAACACTTCACGTATCCATTTGGTGAACTGCCTTGTTACCCAGGCTTTACCATTAGCCCTCCACATTACACTGAGTTTACTTTTTATCACACTGTTTTTCTTAAACACCCTTGGATTTTCAGAGTGGTAGACTAGCAATGGTTTAATTTTCCAGTTCCCACTAGCATTACCACACAAGAAGTGTCTTTGCTTGTCTTTCATGGGCTTGTGTCCTGGTAATGATTTTTCTTCTTGTGTGATGTAGGTTCTCTTAGACATTCTTTTTCAAAAGAGGCCAGATTCATCATAATTAAAAACTTGTTGAGGAATAAATCCCTCAATGTCTACATAGGTTTTAAATTCCTTAACAAACTTTTCAGCCTCATCTCTATTAGCACTGGCAGCCTCCCCATGCCTTACACTATGAATCCCACTCCTCTTTATAAATTTATCAAACCAGCCCCTACTTGCCTTAAATTCATCACTTTCAGAAACACTGTCACCGGCCAATTGGTTTTCATTAATCCACACTAACAAGAGTTTTTCCATTTCTTCAATTATCTGTGGCCTTTTTACAGAAAGAATTTTCACTCTTTTTGCCATATCAGTCCCTTTTATTGCCTTTTTATTTTTCAATATGGATGATATGGTGGATTTTGCCATACCATACTGAATGGCCAAGTCTGATACATGAGTTCCACTTTCCCACTTCACAATGAGTTCTTTTTTCACTTTACCTGTCCTCACTGCTTTCCTTTTAGGCTTGTTTAGATCACTACTCTTTTCTTGGAGCCATGAGTACTTATTTTCAATGAAAATATTTTAAAAACACCACAAAATAATAATAAGATGCTTGTACGAATGATACTTATTAACAAATGAAGGGTGACGAGAGACCGAGCACGTGATACTTTGTTTCATCGAGCTTCGTCCAGATGGACCGTTTTGTTTAGGTCAAATATTGAGGCAACGTCCAAATGCCAAGTCAATTTTTTCTTGAAAAAGTTGGGCAAATATTGAGTAGTACGAATATAGGGACATGAATATCGAGGTGCCACTGTACTAAAATTACAGGTTGCATGTTAGCATCTATCTGGCTGCAGTAAGAATAAGTTTTCCTGCTGAATAAAATCAATGCTAATAAGCAAGCTAGATTTAGGAAAATTTATTGAAATTATATTCTTAGGTATAAAGGTACAATTAGTTAGCACTACATGTCCAGTTGACACTTCAAAAATTACCTGCAATTAGGTGACAAAACTTATGCTGATGTTTCAGTCCAAGACAGACCGAAGTGTTATCATAAGTTTCTTCTAAGTGCAGGTTTTTTGTATATTGCTCCAGACATGGTATTGTGACATTTTTATTCTTATGTCCCAGAGAACACACCTTTTTATCTAACATATTAAAAGAAAGCTTCACTCACTATAAAGCTTTACTTTTTATTTTTAACATGTTGGCTGCTTCCCACCGAGGCAGTGTAACCCAAAAATAAAGAAAAGCCCAAAAAGAAAGAAAAAATTTCATCTTCATTCAACATTTTCACCATCACTCATACATAATCACTGTCTTTGCTTTATTATTGAATGAATTATGTTGAACTTTATCTAGTTGCCTTGTGTAATATATAATTTTAATGTAGCTCTGTTTATATTTCAGAGAGAAATGGACTAGGTAGACAGAGAAAGATATATAAATACTGTATATAAAATCTCAATACTGTGCATTACTTACTTAGGCAACAGCTTTACTCTTGCTTCCAAAATCTTGATCCATTTCTTGAGCTTGTGAATAAGGTTATGTAACTTCATAGCTCCTAGCTGTGAGAAATCAAAATCTGTTGTGAACTGTCCCTTCATCTTGTGGAATACAGGGTCCTGAACTGTTGCCTGGGCACGCCTGGCTAGGGATTCAGAAGCAGCACTTGCGTACTGTCCTCCACCACTTACAGAACTGCTGATATTTTCTGTAATCAACAAAATCAGAATCCAATATTAAATGCTGAATCAAGCATTTTATGTACAGTATTAATCATGAAATTTATTATTTTATACTTAAGCCAATTCAAAATTTTGTTCACATTAGATAAACAGATTACAAGCTTACTGACTCATCTTTTCTATTTAGTAGAGTACTATAAATCTCAACCAGCATAATGTTACAATTTATTTCAAAATTTCATGTCAATACACTTACCAATATAGATAAATGGCTTAAAGAACTGACAAGTTGATTGTGGAAAAGTTTCACCACACAGTGGCTTCATCAGTCCAATACAAAGAAGAATGGTGAAGATCAGAGGGAGTCTGAGGTAAGCAGTCCCTCAGCCTGATCTTCACCATTCTTCTTTGTACTGGACTAATGAAACCACTGTGTAGTAAACCATTTCCATAATATAGATACCCAAGTATTGCACATGTGTCTAATTTATCACACTTACCAATGCCAATGCCAAATGTTGAGACAAGTTTTTTAACAAATGAAAGTGTATGTGGTGTTATGTTTGCCTCTGACACCGCTCCTGAGTTTTCAAATGCTACAGCATAGCATTTTGCAAGAGCTTGGCGTAGTTGCCGCAGCACTACCTCATCCCAATACTCTCGGAAGCACACCATCTAGAATAACAAATATGGTTGCAATTATGTAAGCTAATGATAATTTTAAATTTTTTTTGAAAAGTTAAGCAATGATCAATAACAGGTACCAATTCTAGATATTTTTTGAAGGTGTACATCTATAGTATGAACACTGAAGAAATGACAAATAATTAAAGAGCTCCTTGTACTATAATAGACAAGAAAAATCTCAATAAGAAGCAACAATAAATCTTTAAAACGCTACACAATTCTCTGTCTGACAATTAACAAATTTGGATAACATTAGACTGAAAAGTGACAAGAAAAATCCTTTAATAATTTCCAATCTATGTATCCACAATAATTTCATTATTTATAGTTGACCCACGAGCAATTTTTTTTTTTTTTTACACAGGCAAGGTAAGGATCCCTAGCTTTATTGACAAGCTATTTACAGGTTAAGGATTCCTAACTTTATTGACAAGCTAAGAGCTGTTACCTACATCAGCTCATTTGAAAGCATTTTTATTGTTATGAGACATACAAATAGGGAACAGCATGAAGTTGGAGCCATCTGTGGGTTACTTTCCTGAATTTTTTTTTTTAAACCCTTGAGGGTCCAGACTCCCAATCTGAAAATTCCCCACAGGGTCCAAGAACTTTCAAAAGAATTTTTTCTTATTTTTTCTTGTGAAATGGTAGAGAATCCTTTTCTGAAGGTAATAAAATAAAAAGCAAAAAATTTGATAAAAAGTTGACGAAATTACGCTCATGTGAATTTTGCTGGCTCAGCAATATTTACGCACTGGTGATTTTGCCCACTTTGAGTTCTATTTTCAGTCAATTACACTGTTCCATCAGACCAAATTACATTTTATCAAATGAGCACAAGAAATCACCCAACCATCAATTTCAACTAACAAATAAAGTGATCAAAAATTGGTAATTTGGCCAATTTCACACAAATTTCAATATATGCCAATTTCAAAATATGGTCCAGAATAAACAAAGCAGGCATTCCTGGTAGTAATATGACATTTCCTTCATTCATTAGTTGCATTTCCAGGCTTTACACATTTACTCCATTCTGATTTTTTATTCACACAAAAAACATAAGAGTTACTGTTATGCAATATTGTAATAATTGTATAAATAATATCAGCGTATTTGTGAACGCTCATTAGACCCACCAGTTGACGTGTACTGGACATGTGATGTGATTTGTTTACTCTCGAACATGATAAAAAAAACGAACATTTTTGCTATTTTGAGCTCAATTTCAAGCTATTTTCAGTCCTACAACCCATCAAAATCTTGTCTATTTCTGTAATATATCTTCCATTCTATCAAACGAGACCAACTACCTCATATATCTTTTTTTTTTTCTACTTTTTTTATTCTTTTGCTACCTTAACTTGTATATTTTATCTTGTCAATTTAAATCTAGATATACTCTAATTCTTGTAAACAACTTATATAACACCTTAGTGCAATTACAATTGAGAGTCTTGTGCCTTTTTTTTTTAAATTAGATTAAACTCAGTTGTACTATGTCAAACCAAATTTTTATTTTAGACCTATGCAATTAAGTGAGAGACTGGGCTATTTTTAATTTTATTTTTAATTTTTTTTTTTTTTTATAGCTCATTCAGCCAAAAAAACCCCCCCAAATCATTAATTTTACCTTTGTGCAATTACAAGGGGGCTTGTTCTATTTTAAATTTGATTTTTATTTTACTAGTTTTACCTAGTTGTCCAGAGGGTGAGGAGGGGGGGTTGGGGGGTTTGGAATGGGAGAGAATGGGGAAACAGAAAACTTCAAGGTGTATAGTCTTATGGAAGGAGGGGGGGGGGGTGGGGGGGGGGGGGGGGGGGGGGGTTTTGTGGGAGGGGGTTGGTTTTTTTTCAGCGGGTTTTTTTTTTTTTTTTGGGTTAAAAAAATTTTTTTTTGGGGTTTTTTTTTAGGGTTTTTTTTTTTTTGGGGTTAAAAAACCCCTTTTTTTGGGTGGGAAAATTTTTTTTTTATTTTTTTTAAATTTTTTTGGTTTTTTTTTATTAAAAAATTTTTGGGGTTTTTTTTTTTTTAAAATTTTTTTTTTTGGGCCCCTGTTTTTTAATCCCTTGTTCCCCATTTTTTTTTTTCATTTTCCCCCTTTTTTTTTTAATTTTTTTTTTGTTTTTTTTCTTTTTTTTTTTTAGCTTTTTTTTTAAATTTTTTTTTTCGTTTTTTTTCGAATAAATTTAAAGTCACTAAAAACCCAAACAGACAAAAAATAAGCACCCCCTTCTTTTAGCGGGAGCCCTTCAAAAAACAACCTTGGCTTACTAGATGATCACCCCCGGAAACTTTTTTCCATCAACAATAGGGAAAAAGACCCCCTTTTTCATACCAACAAAAACAAACCCAACCAGGCTAAATGAGACAAGTGAAACCCATAAATGGGGGCCCACAAATTGACCAATATACTAGCCCCCCTTAAATCAGGGATAATCACAGATAGCACTACAGCCCAATTTACCCCCCTTCCCCTCCTGACAAACATTAATAAACCACCACTTGAAAAAACAAAGTCTCTTTTAGATTTCCCATGACGGGGCCCCTCAATAAGGAATTTCACAAACTAACCTAAGATTGTTGACTGGCCTACAAAATTTCCCTCCAAGGCCAATGGTTTGAGATTTGACGACATTTTTTTTAAACAAATTACTTGGGACTATACAACAAACTTGTCCTATAAAACAAAACAGTTTCAAAAACCCAAACGGCTTGGTTGCCCATGACAAACCCAAAGCACCTTTCTGAAATCCTTTGACAAAAACACCAATATGAAAAGCAATATAACAGGTTTAAATCACAAAGGATTCTTAAACACTTTTCCTCATTCTAAACCAAAGAAATTAAAGAAAGCCAAAAAACTAAAAACTACCCCAGTAGTTTCACAGACACAAGGAAAAACAAAAAGACCTAAAAAAACACTCTCTCAGATTCTGGGCCCCCCAAAAACAAAAAAAAAATTGTCCTAACAAAACCAAATGAAACACACAACATCCCACTAAACACAGCTAACAAATAAACAATTTCCCTTCTAAACCCATGGGATCTAATCTGGGCCAAATAAAATCCCCCCATACAAATTTCCCATGCCAGGACTACCTAAAAGGGGAAATTTTCCCCAAAAATTTCCCTTCTATCTTGCCCAATTTAACCCTCGGAATCACCGAGATTATAAAGTCACTTAAAACAACTAAAAGGAATCTGCCCAAAAGCCCCAAACCTTTTACTGAAACAAGCGAGGGGCCCTTTCCCTTTTTCGCATGCTATTTCTTTATTTTTTAAAAGCCCACTAAAAAACTAGCCCCTTCCCAAACTACCCCAAGAGGGAAAGGGGTTTTTACACCAATACATAAAGGTGGGACCCTACAGACTTAAACAACTATAGGCCAATACCCAATTTTCCCATTGCTATCCAAAATTTTTGAAAAAAATTTCGTGAACGGAGACTAAAATTCTTTTATAACAGCACAAAACATACTAAACCCCCCTCCCCTTTGGGATTTAGGGAAAAAAAAAAGCACTAATAACCCAATCATAAAAAGCTAGATCTGCTTTACCCACTTTGGGAAAAATTAAGGAATTTTCCAAATGGGAATTTTTTATTAACCTAAAAAAAGCTTTTGACACAGTAGACCACAAAAACCCTTTCCCCACAAACTTGACCATTACTTTATAAAGGCCATGCCTTGTTTATTTCAAATCTTACCTTACTAATGGGTACCCAATGTTACCATTAAAGACACAGCATAAACAACAGGGCCATTTGATACGGGAGTCCGCAGGGAAAAAGTTTCCCTTTGGGCCCCCCGCCTTCCTCAAAAACATCAAAGATCTTCCAAACGTATCCCAACACCTGAAAACCCCTTCCCTTTGCTGACCCACACGACTTATATCATCTCTCACCCTAATCTTGCCCCCCTCAACCCATTTTTAACGAGGAACTGATCAAAAAAATCGACTTGGTTTAAAAGCCAATAAACTTTCCTTAACACTGACCAAAAACCCACTATATTATGGTTTTTTAGCAGAGGGAAGGGGAAAGCACAAATTAACAATTTAAAAATTGACAACACTCTAATTACCAGACATAATGAGGGCAAATTTTCCCAGGCCCATACCTTGACAACAACCTGAATTTCAGCACCCATATCCAAAAAACATAACCAAAAAAGTATCCAAAACAGTTTTTGGATCCTCCCAAGATACGATTTCTACGGGGCCGCAAAATGGCCCCTTTTCAAAACAAACCACTCCCTTATTTATCCCCTACCTTTCCCCATGCATTTGGGGCTTGGGGATCAACTGCACAACACACCTAAAGCCAAAAATAAACCCCAAAAAAAAGTTTCAGTAAGAATAATCACTAAAACCCATCCCTGGGAAAAACCCCCCCCCCCCAACCCTTCATAGAAACTAAACTTAAAACCCCCTTTTAGTTTCATCCACACTTACTACTGGCAATCTAATCAAAAAGGACCTTAAACCCCCAATATCAACCTTGACCTAAAATGCCCCTTTTTTTTATAGTTGGGGACAGAACCCACAGGGATAAAAACCCAAAACAAACATCTTACCAAACCCCTTTTCCCCGGGCCGACTAAAACCCTTTTCAAAAATTCAATTATTCCCAAAAGGGCCCAAAAAATTTTTGGAAAACCCCCACCTGGAAATCTAAACTGCAACACATTCAACACCTTCAAAAACAAACCCTTAGAAAACATCTTAAACTCCCTGAAAAACCCCCTCAACAACTACCCCGAAAAACCACCTGGGGGTTTACACTTTCACTCACTCACCCAAATTTACCAAAAACAAAATATTAAACTCAAACTTTAAAAAAAAGAATCCCAAAGATACTCCAAAACTGAAAAATATTTACTGTGCCAAAACAAAAGCATTCACATTTTCTAAACTCACAAACTATTTTTTATTTACTTAGCCCCCAAAAAACCAAATTAAACCCCATAATTTGTAAAATTTAAAA